GGGCGCTCCCCCCGCCTGGCCCGACCCTTGGGGACTGCGTCCCCCCCCCGGGCTCCCCCATGGGGCAGGGGCCGGGCCCGACTTCTCCCGGGGCGGGGGGCACGGGCCGGTCTGCCCGGGATAGAGGAGGGAGATCGAGGAGCTTGGGGGGGTAAGTCCAGGCATCTGGGGCTGGGGGGGGACGAGGGTGCTTGTGCAGGTGTGTGGGAGCGGACACGTGCGTGTGAGTGTGAACATGCAAGGGACTGTACACGCCTGTGTGTGCCTATGTGAGGGTACATGCCTGTGAGTGTGCGTGTGCCCTTGGAAGTGTACACACGTGTGTGCGCGCATGTGAGTTCATGTCTGTGTGTGCCTGCGCACCCATGTCTGGGAGTGAACCCATCTGTGCGACAGTGTGACTGTACGCATCTGAGTGTGTGCACACGTGTGAGTGTGCACGTGTGTTCGTGTCTCTGCATGTGCCCTTGGCAGCAGACCGGGGCGGGGGGCGCTGCCGGGCTGGACCGAGGGGCCGGGAGTGCGGGGCACCGGGGTCTGAGCACTGATGAGCAGGGGCTGGGCAGCCCCCGCAGCGCTGCCCCCTGGTGGCTGCCCCCAGCACCCCCAACCCCCGTCCCGATACTAGTGTTGCATGGGGCCAAAAGTCCCGACTCCCCCGCCCCGCTGATCTCCAGGCTGATCTCCCTGCGGCTGAAGATGCCCCAGGGGCAGGAGCTGCAGAGGGCACGGGGCAGTGTGGGGCAAAGGCATCACCTGAGCTCCCCTCAGCACCAGGGCAAGGACCCCGCACGGGCGCCCCCAGCTTCCTGCTCCCCCCTCCCCACCGCACAGCCCAGAGGGGATGGGGCCCAGCAGCTGCTTTCTGGGGGGGCAGGGGCGAAAGGCACCAGCAGGGTTGGGGCAGCAAGGACCTGTGGGTTGGGAGTGAGGGGCACAGGCAGGGCTGGGGGCAGGGGGTTGCTGGTCAGGAGTGGGGGGCACCAGCAGGGTTGCAGGGGCAGGGGCTGTGGGTCAGGAGTGGGGGGCACTGGCAGAGCTGGGGACTCAGGGGCTGTGAGTCAGGAGTGAGGGGCATAAGCAGGGTTGGAGGGGTAGGAGGCTGCAGGTTTGGAGTGAGGGGCAGGTTGGGGAAGCAGGGGTCTGTGGGTCGGGAGTGAGGGGCACTGGTGGGGCAGGGGGTGCAGGGCGCTGTGCTTCAGCTCTGCTTTCTCTCTGGCTCTGCTCCTGCACCTTCCGGCTCCGCACTCTCCCTGCAGCCTGTGGGGCCAGGTGGGCGCTGGGGTCTCTGCTTTCCCTGCTGGACCCCTCCCCTCCCCAGGGCTTGGGGCCGGGCTGGGCTGGGCAGGGCTGCCCCTGGAGAAGGAGGCTCTGGGGGGACCAAAATCAAGTTCAAGCCCATGCACGGCTGAGGGGGGCAGAAGCAGGGACTGCGCCCCGATCCATGACCCCTGCAGCCCGTGACAGCGGCAGGGTCCCAGCTCTGCTGCCTTCATGGAGGGGCTGGGAGGGGGCAGCCGCCTTTGCTGCCGACCCAGGGGCTGGGGCTGTGAGCAGGGGCTAGCATGGCTCAGCCTGGCTGCCCACCCGGGGCCCTGGCCTCTGCTGGGGGCTGCAGGTCGGGAGCGAGGAGCACCGTCTTGGCTGTCGGGGCAGGGGCTGCGGGCGACTAAGGGACACTGTATGGGCTGGGATACTGGAACTACAGATCGGGAGTGAGGGGCTGTGGCAGGGCTGGGGGGGCAGGGGCTGCGGATCGAGAGAAGGGCACCAGCAGAGCTAGTGGGGTAGGGGGCTGCGGGTCAGGAGTGAGGGGCACCAGCAGGGCTGGGGGGTAGGGGGCTGTGGGTCAGGAGTGAGGGGCTCCCCTGCTGACCCCCGCTCTGCCCTGCCCCGCAGCGCTGCAAGGACCGCCTGAATGCACTGGCCATCTCGGTGATGAACCAGTGGCCGGGCGTGAAGCTGCGGGTGACCGAGGGCTGGGACGAGGACGGGCACCACTCGGAGGAGTCGCTGCACTACGAGGGCCGCGCTGTGGATATCACCACCTCCGACCGCGACCGCAACAAATACGGCATGCTGGCACGCCTGGCCGTGGAGGCCGGCTTCGACTGGGTCTACTACGAGTCCAAGGCCCACATCCACTGCTCCGTCAAGTCAGGTGAGGCCGGGCCCACGGTCTAGCCCCCCAGGGCTCCCTGTCCCACGCAGGTGCCCCCCACCCCAAGCCAACTCATCCCCCAGGCTCCCACCCCAGAGCCCAGAGCCAGGCAGCCCCCCGGCCCCACTACCCTGAGCATCTCCCCTCCCTGATGCGCCCGGGGCTCCTGAGGTGGATGCTGGCAGAGGCAGCAGCACTGGGAACAGGGGCATGGGGTAAGACATGGCATCTCCGAGCGCCCATCTCGGGGGCGAGGGATGCATGTGGGAGGAGGGAACTGGGAGTGAGGGGCACCAGCAGGGCAGGGGGGAGGGGGCTATGGGTCAGGAGTGAGGTGCACTGGCAGGGGCTATGGGTTGGGAGTGAAGGGCACTGGCAGGGCTGGGGGGGCAGGGGCTGCAGGTGGGGAGTGGTGGGCAC